TGCATGTAATTGAAAAGATTGGAGGAATCTATATAAGTACGATGTTTCGATCAATTGAGCAATTTGCAGGAGAAGTATCAATGCTTTAATTTTTTCTTTTTTTTTTTTTCTTAGAACTAGAATTTGTATAATACACGCATCGAAGGATCCCCCTGTTAAAAAGCAATCAATTTCTATATTCTGTATTTTAATAATATTGCTGCAACAGATATCGATGAGGGCTTTTGTCTTTCCTTTTTTTTTTTTTTTTTTTTTCTTCTTTTAAAAAAATGTGCGCTACGGTTGAAGAACAGCTTTACTAAAATTTCAAACCGTGTTGGTCGGTAAAAATTGAATTCGAACGTAGACACTCGAGGCTAATGGAGCTTCAGGACGCCATCGAGGTTCGAGCCAACACTCGACGCGTCGTTATCGGCGTCGATTTCAATTAATCGTTTCACCAAAGTGAATAGATAGCGAACCAGGTAGATAGGTCACTTTTTCCCAACTTATATAATCGGGGGAACCGTGATATTCCACATCCAATCATCCTTCGTCTAACGCTTGAACAACGTATTCTCATCGAGATCCGAAATCGTTATACCTTTCAACTTTTTCATTTCTATCATCTTACGTGCATCCTTCAACTAATCTTCCTACATACATCCCTTCGAATCGTCAAATATTTTAAAATCAAAAAAAAAAAAAAAAAAAAAAAAAGAAATGGATAATTCTTCGAAACTTTGAATATTTCGAAAAATTACACCTTTATAATATCTTGAATTAAAATTAAGTCGAATTTTACAATTGAAACGAAAAACCTTATCCATAAATAGAAAAGAAAAGGGAGGAATTGGTGAAAAAATTCTGGGCACAATTTCCGAAGCTGAAAATGTCCGACCGATCGCATCTTATTCCCCTGGAACGGAACGATAGGGCGATACACGATCCCGAATGGCTCGGAGCGCTGATCTTTCGCTCCAGTTACGAAAAAAAAAGCCTCTCGCGAGAGGCTACCTCTCTGCCGTGCAAATTGGAGCACCGATAAACGTGGCTCGCTCGATCAACCCCCTTTCCAAGGGGAACGTCTATTCCGGTAACTGCGTTCTACGACACGGGTGCACTCAACCCCTCGCCTGCACCCCTCCCTCCCCCCGCGGTCGGACAGCGCGTTTACACAGCTTTAAAAAACCGTGCACTTTTCTCCTCGGACAACGGATGGATTTGTTTATCGATTTGTTATCCCCGCGAATTTCTCCCCCTCGTATCTCTCTCTCTCTCTCTCTCTCTCTATTTTTTTTTGCAAGTCGTTTGCAAGTTGTTAGCGGGTTTATTGAGGATGTGGAACGTTTTAACGGGGACGATTATATATATATATTTGCAGCCGTGTGCAGGGTATGAAGTGTCTCATATTAGTTATCGCTCGATTGTACTTGGAAGAAAAATAAAATACGATCGGGAGAAAGGTGTCCCGTGCATGCGGGAAAAGATTGCTTGATCATCACCACGTGTGCTCGACTCGATCGTCAAGTAAGTCACGAAGAGGAGGCTGTTAGTCATGAAGAGAGAGTAACGTGACTACAATGTTGAATGGGGAGCATCGTTTGTAATGATGGTGCTGCCTCGTGTTTTCTCTTTTAACTTCATCGTCATTCCTAACGATTCGAGATCCTCTTCTGGAATGAAGCGGTGGACGCAGGATTCCCCGAGGAATAAACAAAATCAAAATGTCCGGCGTGCGTTTCGGTTGAAGGGGCGAGCACGGGGAGAAACTGCTATAGTGCAGTTAACTAGAATCCAACAGTGAATGCCTGTTGTAACGTGTCTCGCAACACGGTTGACAACTTCTTGTCTTGCAAGTTGAACGAAGTTGATCGATATCTTCATTCCTGGAAAATTCGAATTCTACGTAGTTGAGTAGCAATTTTGAAAGGGAAGGATATCATCGCGTGACATATGTGATATATCGATTGTCGATTTTTTTTTTCCTTCTAGAATCGAGAGATGAAACAAACGAATAAAGATAGATAAGCTATGAAATTAGATACGTCGGATGAATATGCTACGCGTGTCGCACGTAAATAGCTGCTCACTGGATCCGTGTGAAAGAAAGAATGGTAGATGGCGCATCGCATACGTATTCGCATCGAGACGAATGGCCAGTTTCAATTCTTATCAAAATATAATCTCGATCCATTTCAATTCCATCAAAGAATATCATCGTCTTCGATGTATAATAATAAAATATTAATTTTCTGCTTTCAGAAAATATATATATATATATATATATGTGTGTGTGTGTATGTATACAGTTCTGTTATCCGCAGAACGTTTCGTACGATGTTTACATACATCATGCTTAGATTACAACGTAATAAATACTTTGCTGTGCCTTCGGCTGGTAATCGATTCAGTGTGAAGCGGAGAACGGTATCGCAATGAACGAAAATTATAGTTTTAACTATTGAAGAGAAATACAAAATAATTGGAGATGGATCGAAAATGGTGAAAGTGCAACGAAATTAGCAAGAGGTACACGGTGTTGGGAAAACTACTATTATATTTTATAAAACGCAATATTGGAAATTATATACAGAATGTAGACTCGAGACGCAATGTAATTCTGCTTACGATATGGGATGTCGAAAGAAACTGTCGATGTTTTCTTCGTTTCGAAAACTTTTATATTTTGATATATTACGTACGTTTACGTATAAAGAAAGAAAATTCGACATTTTAATAATAAATTAATCACCAAGATGTGCTCTTGGTTTGTCAGAATCACGATAATGAATGATGTCTCTCCTTATACCACAATTCTATTTTCATCGTCAATTTCTCAAAATCAAACTCATCTTGAGCTAATTTCATAATTACCAACATGCTTACAAAATTCAAAAATTGACAGAACGTATTATCCTAGACTTTACAAGATCCAAAATTCGCGAAGCGATATTTTAACGAAATCAAAAAATAACATAAATAAATATTGTCGACGTTATTCCCGTATCTCTTGGAAAAATCTCTTCCCCCATTTGTATACGTCTCGACGACGTTAGGACGGAGCATGATCGATCGAAGCGTAATAAACAAATTCGTTCCCGATACACCGTCGATGGAAACATAAGAAATTCGGGGGAGGGAAGGGAGAGGAGATAAGCGAGACACGAACGGTGTCGCGGGATCAATCGGCACCGCCACTTGATACGATAATTTACGACCTCGCTATTTCACCGTCACCACCGTGACTTCTCCCAATCTCTCTTGGCGACTGTACATCCGCCGCCGGGCTACCGCTCCCTCTCTCTCTCTCTCTCTCTCTCTCCTCCTCCTCCTCCTCCGCCC